GATAAGTTTCTGGGCTCCTAGCCAAGGGGTGGCTTATCTACTTCATTAGTCGTGGCAGATGGCCAAGCCAGCATCAGTATAATTTGGAGGCTTGTTGGACAGAACACATACATATACATATATATACATATACATACAGAGTGGGAGACAGACCGGCTGACAGATGAGCGTCTTTGGAGAGGTTTTCTCCAAGCCTGATCCCCGGGGTGGGCGTGTGAGGTTCGGCAGGGCCAGCCCCTTTTTCCTGCTGCCCTGAGCTTCTTAAAGCTGCAACTGGGCGCTGTGGGCCAGTCCCTCTTTCCGTCATCTGCTCGTCCTGGATCCCATTCACGAGGCTGGCATCGGTCGTGGCTGGGTCAGGCCAGTATCTCTGGGTGGAGAGCACATTGCGCATCTCCCCAAGTGACTGAGAAATGCCCAGCACCCAATAAGGGCTGGAAGAAGTTCCAGCAAGTGAGGCGCCGGAGAATCAGCCCTGGCCGCTTCTCCATCCCCTGCCATTGCCTTTACCTTCTCAGGCCAGGCAAGGAGTGACTGTGAGGGCAGGGTGAGGCCAGCCAGTGATATGACAGGGAGCCGCAGCAGAGAGCCCAAAGAACTACATGTGGTTCTGGAGTTATGGGTTGCCAACACCCGGGCTATATCATAAATATTCTCAAAGCGGAACAAAACCCAGGCCTTTTCAGACACAGTCTCCTCAGATCACTTAAAACAAGTCCATGAAGATTTCTGTATTACAGGGTAACAAAATGGAGCCTACTTATACTTTAAAAGGGGCTTCCTCTTGTTTTTAAATTCTTGTCTATCTGCTGGGTATATTTAGTTTTAGTACATGGGAGGAGGAAGGTTACTTATTTTCCTCAAAAAGAGGTCATATGCAGTGTGAAGCTGTTGTAGATCCAGATCCCTCTCTATTTCCTCAGAGCCATTCCTTAAGAGTGCCTTTTATCAATTTTGGCTGATGTGACAACTGTACCTTTTCTTAGAAGAAAATTGCTTTAAATGGTATACTGGTAGCCACCTTGCTTTTTGATTACCCTAGTGTGTTTTGTAAGGTGATACCTTTGAATTCAGCCTAGAAATCTCAATTAACACAGAGCTCAATAGTCAGACTACACTTGTACTAAAAGACCTTCACAAGCTGCAAGTTTATTTCACAGTGAAAGACAATGTGCTGGTTTATATATTTAAAGCCTCTTAGAGAGCACATTTTTCTAGATGATGAAGTAACTGGGGAAGTTTTTCTAAAGTTGCTATAGCTTTGCTAGTGGAATCCAGGGGCTGAGCCTTCTTTGTAATTGCCCCGATCTCTACAACGCAGTCCCTATGGATATGGACTTAAAACAATTTGCTGGTATTTAAGAATTCCGCAAAACACATTTAAACTTGATAGTTTTATTTTACATTTTAACTGGATTGTTGGTATAATTTGCCCTCATACCAGTAGCTGTACAAGATCTTGCATTCTACTGGTTAAAAAATGTATAATTCTGAATCAACAATTTACTGACAAAATGGACAATTTGGGGCTTTCAATTTTTCAGTTGGAAAATTTTAATTTGTTGCATAATGGTATGCAATATCACACACAGAAGAAATCTGCAGCTCTATGAGTAACACTTATAGTTGTGTTTGGAAATGAAGATATTTCATATGCAATGAAGATACTGTATATAGACAAACAACACTCACCAGATATTTTTTTGTCTATGCAGGAAAGAATTCCGCTTCTCCCAGCAACTAAGTTGTTGTTATGTATAATTGGGAACTCAGTGGGATAATAATTACATCAGTAATCAGAAAGCCTTGAAAATGAGTATTTAATATCCCAAACAAACCTTCTTAAATTCATTTGTTCAGCAAAGCATTATGACCACTCTATCTGAAATATTCTCAGGCTCAAAGAATCAAGAGCGACACTGTCAGAGTTTGTTGTAGCAATCACATCCAGAAATCACACACAGGTAACTGATTCAGCAGGATTCATTAACTTCTCTTTATATATAATATAACACGTGAAGTAAATATACAATACCAAAAGCAGGTTTTTCCAACGTGGTAGCAAATGCAAGCAAACACAGGCAGAGGAGAGAACAGTTTCAGTTTTAGTTTAGAGCAGCAAACTAGTTCAGAGCTCAGCACACACTCAGAGCTACAGAGCTAAGTCACACCCAGGCTCCTTGCTGCTCACACAGCAAATACTGTTTCAGTTTCCAAACAGCCCTCATTGGGTGACCCAGTTGCCATGTCTCTCCATTGGCTGACCATGTTTCCATGTCTCTTCCAGTCATGAACTCTCAATACACTGACAGACATATGGAGCTATTTCCAAGTAGTTCCTTTATTTTGTTCGCCTATATAAAGCGATTATCCACAATAACTATACATATGCTCTGTGAATTACGGGGGACGGCTTGACCTTGCTCTCTTCTTGCCCACCAGATACTCCATTGTCTCTTTGTCCTTCCCTCCTGTGATTCTGGACTACATTCCACCATATATATTCCATTTCTCAAATAAATATGTAAGTGGATCTATGAGCTAGTGATTATGGCTTATAATCAACAGCCATTTTTGTGCTATGGAAAACTATTTTTAAAACTGAGAGAATTTGGCATAATTCCACAGCTTGATACCACACAGATTTATGGGGACAGTTCAAATAAAATTCCCAGCTGATAGTCATACTGGAGGACTATGTTTTTGTTTTTACGTTTAAGGTTAAAAAGTGCATTCGATAACACAAAGTCCTTGGTCTCACATAAATAACTCTCTGACTCCAATCACTTACAGCAGACATTTATGATAGGTAATATGTATGGATAAGTACGGATGTCACAAAATTATTAACTTGATACCCTTACCTGTTATATATGTGAGGGCATCCCAGGGTATTTTTCCTTCTTGGCAATAAAGATTGAGGTTTAATAAGGCACATTCTCTGTCACTGTCATTAAATTCATAACATATATTCCAGCCAAGGGGTCCAAATTTTTTCCTTTCCTTGAAGATTAGAAAAATATTTTTGGGGGGTCAGCGTTGAAGAAGTTCATGACAAAAATAAGAAATCCATAAAAAACCCTGAAAGTATTCAGTTCCTTCACAATTTCTACAGTTTTTTCTCCCCAGATTCTATTCTTTGGGTTCCCGTGGCTTATTTCATTTAATGATAGTATCAGATGTTCATTGTGATAATGAATCAACAGTATATGTTTGTCCTAGAAAACTGACAGAATAGCTCCTGCTTTTCTGAAGAATGAGATGAAAGAGCTATTTCCTGTACCTAGTTTTCTCTTGAGATCTATATTACCAGAGGAACATCAGAGAGCCAGAGGTTACAAACTGAATGGCAGTGATTAAGAAATTAGAGACAATTATATAATACATCTCTACACACACTGATTAGAAAACAAATCAAGGTTTTTCCTGACATCCTATTTTCAACAGCTTGAGTAAAAGCAGCAGGTGAAAACCTGGCTAGAATGTCACCCTGGTTCCAAAAATTGTGGGAAAGCATTTTTGAACAGTTTTCACAAAAATACAAAAACTGTTAAAGATGGCTGCAACTAGATGTTTCTTTATATTTATAACCCTTCTTCTACATACAGCAGATGCATGTAGTTTTCTAGTGTACCATTTGGAGAAAGGAATAGATTACAATCTTATTTCTAAGGATGATGCTGCATCTCTGATGCAGTGAATTTTGATGCTCAGAAGCTTAATTGTTTCAGCGTATTAGCGTAATATTAGTGCCCTGTTGAAAACACTGAGATGCAGGACATCAGAATCAATTTGACTACATCATAGGAAATAGATGGAGAAAGAATAATCAAGTCTGCAAGATTACTTCCAGATGCAAATTGTGGAACTATTAAATCTATTAAATATTGATGTCAAATAAATATGAGTTTCACTTAGCAAAATCAAAGAAAGTAGCATGGCAGCAATGTTCAATCAAGAGTACAGATGCTCAGAATTCAAGTTCAATGTAAGGAACAAATTCAGCATGCTTAACTTAGGACAACTTGAGGAGCAATTCAAATAAATAAATAAACAAACAAATAAACACTGAAAATAAAGCAGAAAAGATCATTCTTCAACTTTCAAAGAGGAAATGATCCAAGTGGCCTGGAGGATGAGCTATTGTGTTTGACAAAAAAAAGTCAGAGGATGAAAGCCTGGACAACAAGAAAGAAGTGTCATGTCTGAACACAGATTTTTAGTGTTAAATACGTAAGGACAAAAAAGATATCTCAATCAAGAACGTCAACAATGTTTTGAAAATTACAAGAAAAATGAGAGGTATTTTTAAAATGAGTGGTAGCACCAGAAAATTTAAAGCAAAGGAGGAATACTCAATCATAGAAGAAATCTAACAGAGACAAATGAGGTTAAAGGAAGATGGAAAGGCTATTCTAAAACCCTTTACAAAGGGGATTATCAAATGACAGAAACATTTATAGAGAGGACATATATTCAAGGACTGATTCCACTAGAGAGTGAGGTACAGTAGACAATAGACTTAGCTGTCAAATAGAAAAGTACAAGACATAGAATTGAACTATTTAAGCTTTAGAAGAAACACTTAAAATAAGAGCTTTACACCAACTAACATAGAACAAGAAAATATGGCATAGAGATTGGAAATAGATACAATAATTAATTCAATAATAAGCAAATTACTGAAGCACTCCTCACATAAACAGGGCTGCTTAAAATCTTACAAAAACTAGAGAACCAAACATGGACACAAAAATGCCAAATAAACAGGCATATTCCAGAATAAGCAATGAAACTATTTATAAGGAATGTTTATAATAATGAACATGAAGCTACTGTAGGAACTGAATTTGAAGAAACACCAGTTCAGAAAAGAGAAGAAAGTGAGCTAAGGATGCATTTTGTTCCTGATGTGTTTAACCAATTCAAAAAATATATTCAATGAATGACAGGATTAGAAGGGATGATTCTTGGAATCAAAAGTGATCTTTAAACAACTAAGAATTATTAGATGAAATAAAATTAAAAAACAGAATGTGAAAAAGTTAATTATGAAATTGAAAATGTGTAGCGAAAAATCTTGGTTAAATATTCAAATATTAATGTCAAAAACAAGAATTTAACAGTCTAGAGTAAAGAAAAGAAACCAGTAGATAGACTGATGTTCTTGGGCACAAGAGCATGTAAGATCATGTGCTGCAAAAGTGAAGAGGAAATTAATCTAGGGAGAAATGAAATGACAAACTAGAGCTGTCTTTTCCAACACTTAAAGTTAGAATGGTTAAAAATGGGTCTTTTTGTGGAAACATATGGAGGTGAAAGCTGGATGTTAGAAATCAGTCCTGGACATATAAATGCTGGTTACTCTATTGATCAGTAAGAACAAATTCAAATAATTATGTATGATACGTGAGCAAATAGTGAACGACATAAATTAATATGCTTGGCAAGACTGAGTGGAGCAAAATGGGAAAACGATATGTAAAATAGGGAGATGACTCAAATTACTCATGTCTTTGGGAGAGCTATGCACAGATGCAGGTCAAGATGGCAGACAATTGTCCATATAATCACCAAGGCCAAGGGAAAATTAACGGCTAACTTTTTCCTTTAAAGTCCAGCCTATATGGATGAGACCTCTTTTCTGAAACAACTCTTATGACTAAAAGAGAATTGCTGATCTAAAGACACACTGTGGTTGCACAGCAGATTTAAATTCAGATCTCCCCCATGCAAGTTCAATCAGCCCATGTACTTATATTCAACACTGACTGGCTCATTTCCAGCGCATGGCTCATAAGTTGAGATCAGGAATTATACACCATTTTTCTTTTCTAATCTTAAGGAGAAGAGAAAGGATTCTACTTCAAGAATTAGGCATAGTTATTTTCATTTTATAATCAGTGGGTAAGATCAGAGAAACGGAGGTATATCTGAATTGAGTGAAATCAATATTTCATCAATATTTGTATTTAGAATTCAAAATGTGTCCCTTCATTAAAGTCCCTTCATTAAATATCGGCAGTAACTCAATACAAATAAAGCTTCTGAACAGACCTGGATTTCTATTCCATAAAAGTCTATAATATTTCATTAACAATCTGCAGATATTATAAATATTATATTTTACTATGAGAAATTTGGATTCTCCTTTTGGTGTTTTCCAATATTCTTTATGCTTAGTTTTGTCACAAACAGCTAAGAGAATTTGAAGCAAAATGGAATGGAGAAGAAATTTCAGCTGAGATGAACGAATTGTTACATAAATATTTACAGAGTATATTTCTTTTCTTTTACAGCAATAAATTGGATTGGATGAAATTAAATCGAAATGTTTCTAAATGCAACAACAGGAATGCAAATCTTCCACTCCAATAGATACTTGATATCTTAAGTTTTCTTTAACATTTTTAGGTTGACTAAGATTTTACTGGAATTTTGATATGATGATAATCTTATGAAGTAAATAAGAAGGTACTAGTCAAGGCAAGCAAATCACCTTTGCCTCAAAGCCACTTTCCAAGGAAAAAAGATTGTTACCACAACTACAGAAACATTAAGGCATAAGGAAGATATTGGGAAGCAAACTCTATATTGAGTCTGCCCACCCACACCTTTAAGGCTTTTGCTTCTTCTGCCTCTGATATCATATAAAAACAATTTGCCCTTCAATAAAAGAAAGCACTTGACACTATTTCCTCTCTTTTCCAAGCTGTGTGCTGAAGTGGAAGTGCAGTTCACTTTCACAGTGATCTGAACTGATTGTTTGCAGGCTGTTTTTTAAATTATGATGAAGGTTGCATGCAACACAAACTCAGAGGAATGTTACCTGAACTTCTGAGTTTTGCAGAAAGATTATGGATAAAACTTTGATGTAAAAAATAAAATGAATAGAGTAAGCTTCATGAACACTGCCGTTCTGAGCTAATATACGAATATTAATTACCTGTGTGACCCATTTCTCAGAATGGAGTGATGAATCTGAAACAATCTGGCTATTCTGAAGGTGATTTATTTGTTTATGGGGTTTAATAGTCCAGAACTTGAGAGGTTAGCACTGCGTCCAGAAACCACAAATAACTTACAGTCCTTGAAGATTTATTTCAAGAAACAGTCAACTCACTTCCAGACTAACTGATTCAATGTGTTTTCAGAGAGAATAAAAGGAACATTTTGAAGAATGCTCCAGGAGTAGAATGGTAAGTTTTTCACCTCCTTGATATTAACATGTCTATTAAAAAAATGTCATCACTGCAACATACACGGACTATCGCTATTAATTATTATTTAATATATTCTTAGAATAGGAGATACCTGAATAATTGCATGAAAAAAGCAAATACCAAAAATTATTTTTCTCCAGATTTTGCCCAAGATATTTTCCTCAAAAAATGTGGGAGTCATTTCTGTGAAGGCTCTTCTGATGTTTGCCCGTAGACCTTTAGGGGGTTCATTTGTTACCTGAATGGAAAAATATATGTACACACATGTATCAAATTGATTTTCAAATATATCTGTTAACAACTTCCAGATAGTATTCCTATGATGCTTCTATAAAATTATATAAAATGAAATAGCTATGAAGCAGCGGTAATTCACACACATCATGCCTCATTGCATTTATTCATTTGCACAGCTACAGGACTAGGTTTTCCAGTTGTGCACTGTGTTGTCAAGTTAATGCATGAATTAGTAGCTATTTTTATGCAAATGGCATTTTCTTGTCAGAGGAAAACTCTCAGCTTTTAACCATGTCAATATATGATTACTTATCCAAAGTTGCATATAGAAATGAAAAGCTACCTTCAGAAAGTAAGGATATGTAAGACAGGAAAAAAATGAATCTGCTTACATAAATGATAAATATGGAGCAATTGTAGTTAGAACTCATACAATAAAGTTGTTTTTTTATTGTTTTCAAATACAGGTAGTTCTTGACTTATGACCAAAATTAAGCCCAAAATTTCTGTTTTTAAGTGAGACATTTGTTAAATGAGTTTTGCCCCATTTGTTAAGTGAATTGTTGCAGTTGATAAGTTAGCAAGCCAGTTGTTAAGTGAATCTGGCTTCCCCAGTTGACTTTGCTTGTTAGAAGGTTGCAAAAGGGATCACATGACTTTGGGACACAGCAACGGTCATAAATATGAACCAGTTGCCAAGCATCTGATCATAGGGATGCTGCAAATGTTGTAACTGTAAAAAATGGTTGTCCACTTTTCAATGTAATTGTAACTAATGGTCACTAAATTAATTGTAAGTCGAGGACTACCTGCACCATTTGAGATACCTGTCTGATATAAGTCTGTTTTATGGATAGAAAGCATTTTAAACAGAGATACAATTACTAAAATCAGTGGAAGTGGAAGTTTTAATGGAAGTTACAATCATTTTCAGGGAAGAGATTTTCCATATTTTTGGGGAAGGCTAAATGATTATTCACACCGATATTCATTGTGGCCAATGAAGAGGAAAATAAACATTTCTTCCCTTCTGAAAGGGTGATCTGAAGTGATCTATGCTCTAGAACAAGATCGGAGAATGTATTCCAAATTTCAGAGGTGCTACTGCTGTACTGAACAGTGAAATATGAATGGTAATGAGAATTTAACACTTCTGGGAAGTGAAGTTCTCACATTCTCAGTCTTTTAAAATCCTCAAACTTTTCATCCTCAGAAGATCTGCTGATGCCTCCTCATACTGTGAGGATTGAGTGATGGTTCGAACAAAAAAGAGTGCCCATCTTTGGCATATACAAAATAACCTACAAATTAGCTTTGTTTCCAATGATTGGGAAATAAATATCGGCATTTTGACTTTGTTTATGGAACAGGCAGAAGAACATGCAGCCTGTATTTCAAATGACTGATTGCCAAAGCAGGATGTTTTAAAAAATATTTTATTTATAATACTAAGTGTGAAAGTATTTACTTTTTATGGCATACCAAAGTGTATTACAGTCATTGACTAAGTCTGAAAATATGGAATTTATCAAGGAACCGTCTCACCCCACTGGAAATGGCCCACCCCACCTCCACTGGAAGAGGCAAGCAATTCTGGCTGGCAAGGTCCATAAGAAGGGCCCTTTCTGCCATGGCTCTTGCACTTAGAAACATCTTACCTCCTAAGGTGAGATTGGCCCCCACACTTCTGACCTTACACAAGAGCCTGAAGACCTGGCTCTGCCAGATGACTTGGGACCCCAATGGGGGAACATCACACTGGAGCTGGTTGATGAATTAAGAGGCAATCCCACCACCCCCTCATGCATCTTGTTCTCTTCCTTCCCATCTAATAACTAAAATTTTATTTTTATTGTGGCTTATATACATACAGTTGCAAGAAAAAGTATGTGAACCCCTTGGGATTATGTGGAGTTTTGCATGAATTGGTCATAAAATGTGCTCTGAACTTCATCTAAGTCACAACAATAGAGAAACACAGTCTGCTGAAAATAAAATTTTAGTTATTAGATG